CGTCCACTCACTCCCACTGCCGCCCAGCCTCACAGTACAGGCAGGGGGCAGCACACAGCCCCGATCCCCTGCTCGCCAGCAGGGAAGAAGCTGGTGCTGAGTGTGGGGAAAAGTGGCCCCTCACCTGCCCCATGGCCGGCGCTCACATCCTGCGTGGGGCTGTCCGGAGCAGGCCCAGGCAGCCCCAGGCAGGAGCCACTTTTCCCCGTGCTCACTACCAGCTTGTAATCCGCCCCACTGCCAGCCTGGCTGCCATGGGGGCTGCAAGCAGCTGCAGCACGGGGCACTGGGTGTGGGTGGGGAAGGGCCACTTCCCTCCCCTATGTCCTTGCCTGGGGTCCCTCCCTCACTTACTTGAGCTTCCCGCGCCGACGGGGGAGCCACATGCTCCCAGCCCAGAAACCCCGGGAGGGGCTTCCAGCTGGGGGGTGGGGCCAGGCGGGCCCCGCTGTTGTTGGAGCCCGCTGAGCATCTTCTGTGTTCTACTGCCCTTGGTTCCTGCCATTTTTGACAGGAACCAAGGGCAGAGAAATATTAATTTTTTTAGGGGCCCTGCACGCTGGATAGAATGGTCCGCAGGCCGTATTTTGCCCACCCCTGTTCTAAAGGAAAATATAATGAACTTTACACATGCATATCTACACTGAAGTAGGAATGGGTAGGGGACAGTATTCTAGTGCAGTGTTTAAAGAGCTGTGAGTGACTGTACCTTATAAACATAAAGCTCATGGATATCATCTGACAAGGTGGTGCCATCATCTCTCATCAGTGGAGTGAATGCAAAGCCAAAGAGCTTCTTTTCCCCTTTATCTTTTGCTGCAAAAGACGACAGAAAGAGAGAAACATTTATGTATGTACTGCAAATATATATTATCTCTCTCTCTCTACCTCTTAACAAACAAGACATAGAGCTGACTTCAGTATTCATAATAGGTGTATTGTTGTAGGTTTCACTTGATGCTAGTAATCTTACATATAAATATAAAAATCAGACAAGGACTAATCAAGAGCAGAGCTAACCAGAGAAAACTGTAGTTGCACAAGCTGAAAAGAAAGTAAGCTTCTTAATATTCTTCTAATCTCTACTAACACTCGGTAAGAACCCCAACATGGACTTTTATATTGTACTTTAAGAATCTTCCTTTTTTCTTCAGCAACAATATAACCTAACCTTATATTAACAGAAAAAAGTCAGCATTTTTACATTTGTTTCAAACATGGGCTTATGTTGCACTTACTGGAGCAATGCCTGAACTCAAAGCGGAGGTGAGACCCACGAAACCTGTCAATGGGGATGGGCAATTTGATGATCTCTCCCCACCGAGGGCTGTTATTATGGTACAGGACAAAAGAATGGTATGCACTCCTGCTTGGCTCTCCTGAACCCAGGCTGATACATTCCTAGAATAAAACATGCAAGAATATAAGTTAAGAATAAAAGACATCATGCTACTTTATATGAGTCATTTAATCACACAGTTGAGCTTCATGCTGAGGATACTGAAATCTAGTGATTTTTTTCCTTTGTATAATTCATACACTTCTGCACACACACAGCAAAAATGGAAGGATAATCCTGGATACAAAGTAATCAGAAGTTTTTTTTTAAGGCACTTTTTAGACTAGACTTTGAAACAGATATGCCACTGTGTGCAAGGTGTACCACTGGCTGCATTCAAATAGGATTTGTTTGGTTTCTTTTTTAATTCAGTTGTTACTTAGTTTTAACTTCTGCATCAAGTAGGGAAAGGATATATTTAATAAAAAGTCCATAAGTAAAGCAATGGGCCATAGAAGATGAATACTCACTTTTTATTAGGTTTTCAGGAAATAATGGGTTGCCGCATTTGTCATAGCTCCCTACACAGAACTCCTCCCTTAACTCTCAAATTTTTAAAAATCCTGTGAATCATTGTCCCTTTCTGAGATCAAGTTACAGTGTCTTAGTATCCTTAGAAAATGTCTCTTCAGTTCTTTGATTAGTAACAAATGAAGAACCCCAAATGAATAATTATCACCTAAAGGAACAAGGGATGACTGAATTCCTGGTTCTGTAAACTAAAATGCCTAAGTGTCTCAACAGATCAATAATTTCTCAAATGTGGAGGAAAAAAGTGTGACTCAATTATATTTAGAAGAATAATGGAAATTTTCAAAACAGAAGGCAAGAGTTGGCAGAAATACTGAAGGAAAGGTCCTACAGTTCCCAAAATAGAAGCACTACAAGGTTTGCACTGCACTGCAAATAAATTGAAGGTATGGCTTTTCACAAATTCAGATATTAGGTAGGACACTCAAAAAGTAGGCTGAAAAATATGACTCAAGCAAATGGCTTAATTGAAGTACTGCAGAGAAGGACCTGGGAGTTATGGTGGACCATAAGCTGAATATGATTCAATAGTGTGCTTTTGTTGCAAAACAAGCCAACAGTATCCTGGATTTATTAACAGGACTGTCACTTGCAAAGCAAGGGAAGTAATTCTTCCACTATGTTAAGCACTAGTGAGATAACCTGGATAACTTTGTCCAGTTTTGGGCCCCACACTTCAAGAGGATGTCGACAGTTTGGCAGGAGCCCAGCATAGGGCAACAAAAATGATTAGGGGCCTGGGAGCAAGACTTGTGAGGAAAACCTGAAAGAACTATGGGGATAGGACTAGAAGCAATGGTCTCAAGTTGAAGCAGGGGAAATTTAGGATGGAGATTCAGAGGAAATTTCTGACTCTGAGAGTGATCAGGCATTAGAACAGGCTACCTAGAGAAGCTGTGGAATCCTCATGCTTGGAAACGTTCAAAAGCAGGTTAGATAAACACTTATGTGGGATGGTTTAGTTAGGGATGATCCTGCCTTGAGCAGGGGGCTGGACTAGTTGACCTTGTAAAGTCCCTTCAAGCCCTACTTTTCTACAATCCTATGATCTTAAAACCAGTTAGAAAAGAAACAGCTTAAAGAATCTTCAAGCATATCTTCCCCAAGAGAAACTGATTCATGGCAGGAAGCTCCTCCATTTAGAAACAGAAGTCAAGTACCACACAATGCAATATGTGGAACATAGCCTCCAATAAGAAAACATTTCTCAGTAACCCACAGGGAACACTGCCATAAGAGGAAGTGCTATAGAGATTCCTCCAAAGTATCTCTAAAATCTCTTCTGAACGAGAATATTGATTTTACTGTGCCCTTATTAGTATGTACATGATGATAAGTGTCAAAACACATCTCCAATAATTATACCCAAGCTTTCTACCAGTGAATTCTCTTATTTCTGAGACAAAGAGGGAAGAATCAAAACTGATAATGATAGAGAAAAATTCACTGGAGGGTCAGGTTTCAAAACAAAATCGCTCTCCCCAGGTAGGTTTTTATTGCAGAGTCCTAGACTTACTTCAAATTGAGTATGTGTAACAGGGCCCAGCCCTGTTACTAGGGGTGTGGAGGAGCCTGAATGGCCCCACACGCTGGAAGCATTCCCCATGCCCACCCCAGACTCACTAGAGGCTGAGAATTCAAGTTGGGGAATTCAGTAAGCCTCCCTAGAAAGGGAGCTAACAGAGGTGTGGGGAATGAAGAAGAGCCAGCCATGTCGGATGCTGAAGGGAGCCTCAGGGCTGCCCTGAGCCTGTGGGCAGTCTAGTTCAAGCAGCTGCTGGAAGGGGCTGTGAGCAAAACTTCTCTTCTGTTTTTTATTTGTCTGTTTTATTTGCAAGGAGCTTTCTTCAAAGCCTCTGAAAGATAAGAGGTTAAGGGGGTTGGGAGAGGTGGGGTGTGAAGCCTGGGAAAGCCTAGCAGGCCAGAAACTTGGAAAAGCTAAGTGGCAGTTTATTTGTTGGGCTTTGTCTATTTGTTCTGCATTTCTTAAAAACCCAGGATGGTGTTATGGTGCTACAGATTAACTCAGCTGCAGCCGAGGCGACGGCCCTTAGCTAAAGCCAGCAGCAAAAGTAAAAGCGGTCGGCTCAGGCTGCCAGACCAAACATGCCTAACTCTGCTCTGCCTGAAAGCAACCTGTAACAGCGTATAGCAGGTATAAGCATTTTAACTGTTGGAACAGTGGGCAGGTGGGTGGAGTTGGTGGTGCTGAAAAATATAATGTCTGAAATGCCTCTCTGATGACATTTTTGATGACTAACTCAGTTATATAAGAGAATGGTGCCACACTTTTTAAAGCTCACTTGGTGTTGCAAGAAAACATGATAGAAAGAATGCCTGTATTTCCACCACAAATATCTCTCTAGGGTTGGTCTATTGTTGCCAAGTGGAGAATGAGCATTAAAACTGTCTTCTCAGTTTCTTAATTGCTACCAAAAGGAAACGTTACGATATGTGTGTATGCAGCTCTATGCAGGAATATGTTCTGTGTGGCTAGCTTGCTTATTAGAGTGGGAAACAATTCCCTAAAGAGTCTAATTTCTGTACCTAGCAGGTAAACATTTCTGCAGCAACCCTTAGTTTGATGGTGGGGAGCCTGGAAGAGAAAAGGGAGCTTAAAAGAGAGAATTTCATTCTATTCTTTCCTGGTCATCTAAGTGTCCAGATATGGACATCTGCATGGTCATCTGAATGCCAAAAACGCCATTTATGATCAGGCTGGAATTGTATTCCTGACCACATAGCCCTGAGCATATGAACAACTGTATATGTGTGCAGACTGTGCATATGCACAGGCAACAAAATGATAGGAGAGACTTCCCATCTTTTCTCCCCCAATTGCCCAGTGGCTAGACGCTCATCTGGAAGGTCAGAACACTGAGGTTCTGGGCCCTCCTCACCCACAGATGGTTTGAACCTGGGTCTTTCCGACTCCCCAGAACAGTGCTCTAACCAGTAAGAGGTTAACTGTTATCCACAGCCTTCTCTGGTGCTCTTTTAGAAGCTGCCCCTCCCCGGGAAGCTATGAGAGGGAGGCATGTTGGAGATCTGTGGGGTGAGGAGGAAGAGAGGAAGCCAAAGGATGTGGGGCTTAGTGGGGTAGCTGCTGGCTTAAAGACTAAGTATAGACAGTCAAAAACCCGAGGATGAATCAATTCAGTCTTTGCAGATTAGTTGAAAATGCAGAGATTAAACTGAGAAACAACTGGATGCACATTTACTTTTGATTCAGGAAATGCAGCCACATGCCTGCAGTGGCTTAGGCCAGTCGCCAGGAGGCACTAGTGCAGCACAGCTATCTGGCATGTAGCCTGCATGGGCTCTGTGTTTGATGCTTCTTCCTGGTGCTTCTGAGGTCTCTGGGATTTGCAGCCAGCAGTAAGTTTGAGCAGGGGAAGGGGTATTTAACCCTTCTCCCTGGCCCCAGACCCCAGCCAGGGTTTGTTTGAGAGGGGGAAGCCCCTGCCTCCCTCCTCAGCCCCATCTGCCACCTGAACCCTTCTCTACTGGAGCAGACAACGCAGCCCAGCCCAAGACTGAAACGTATGCTGGGGGACTGTGACTTAATTTGAACCAGGAAGGGATCTGGGACAGAAGTTTCATAAAC